TAGACCATGTCACTTTTGGCAAGCCCTGAAGTGGTCAGGCAGTTGAACTAGATAATTGTTGTAGATCCCTTCCAACCGAAATAGTCTATTTCTGTTCTATTCTAAATATATTTGGTGCGATTTTATAGCCATTGCTCTAGCCTAAAAAGTCTACAGAAGATCTTCTCTGATAGAAGTCCAGTTTACTAAGTAATTAATGATTTAGTGTGCCTTTATCATCTCACTAAAACAAGTCTATTCCAGCACGCCACTAATACTGAACATCACCAGTTTCTTAAAAAGGGTAGTTGCATTGATAGCACAGATTTACAAGTGGCCAAGGAGAAACATTAAAAGGTTAAGAATTCAGCTGTGCCACAAGCTACACGGGACAACAGGAAAGAATGTCAGCTCTGAATAACTTGGAAAAAACCCTGCCCTCTCACTGTTAAGAGCAGATTTGGGACCAGCGTACACAAAGCTTGTTTAACGGCACAGCATCACCCAACAAGAGGGCCAGGAATGGGATTCAGTTTCCCGAGTGCAGCTTTTACCCCACAGTCTCTAGACAGAGCATTCCCAACCTCAACAAAGGATTTGTTTAGGCACATTTCTAACTGAAAGTCATGTTTTGTACCACCTTCGTAAATCTTTGAAAACTCTGCACTGCTAATTCCCATTGCCAGAGTCAACAAATGTAAAACACAGAAAACGAAACTGCAGAAAATGCCTCAATTCCATTGATACACTCCAGGACTAATGACACTGTAATTTGTTTACTTATATTACTATCAGTACCGCAGTGTAACCTGAAGACCCAATCAAGATTAGGACGCCATTACATTAGGCATGAAGAAGGAGGCAGTTTGTATCTCAAATTGCTTGCAATCTATCTACACGAGACAGACAAAGTACAACTATCATTTTCCAGATGGAAAACAGAAGGAGTAAGCAGATTGCCAAAGGCTTTTAGAAGCTTGCTCAATGAAATCCCTGACAAAAACATGACATAAACCACTGCTGCTGGAAATGCATTTTGATGCCAACACACTACCTTATCTATTAATCCCATTATTTAAATATTGTGTCAGGTAACTTTTGAGACACAACACTGATGTTGGGTGATAAGAAGAAATTACTGTATTTGTTATATTTCTTAACAAAGATAAAACATACAGGAATCTGACCACATTCTTCCATCACATACTAAGATCAGAACTTGTTTTCATGTTCTGTCACAGTCCTCCTATCTAATCTTCTGCAATAATCTGGAGCAGCTATTTGTACACTTAACTCAGTCTGGGCAAAGCTGAAAAATCAGCAGGTGATTTACAGTACCAAAGTTAGGCATGAAGGCATGTTATGTAGCCAGAAAGGGCAGTTAGGTACTTCTGCAGGGTAATCCAAAAATCCTGCTCTAATTGTCAAGTAGCCAAGAACTACTCCTTAAGGCTTAAACTAAGAGGTACCTTCTAAACTGTTCCCTACTTAGGTTGCACATTAACTCCCACTGCCATGGGAACTTAGGTCTGTCCATTAAGGCATAAAATGCATTTCGGAATCAGACCACACAGTCTGCTCCTGAGATTATACATCTAGTTGAACAAGGAAAGAGGCAATGCTGCCACGTATAACAGCCTAATAGCTGGAGTGCCGACAGCAGAAGTGTAAAACTCAATCACAGTTCTCCTTCATCTTGAGGAGATTCCAGTTCTCACTTCCCACTTCTCCAGAACATGTAGGGACGTCAGACGAGAAACTACCCTGCTGAATCCCTACCTTGGCGATGCATGAATCTTAAGATGAGCATCCTGGAGGATGAGCAGACAGGACAAATACCTAGGGCACCAGCCTTTAGCACTCTCCGAACTTTTTCTGCATGGACTGCCAGGACAACACATCCAGACAGCTTGCTCCTAAAAGCCTTTTTCCCCCCCAAAGACACTTCAGAAGAAAGTCACAGGCCTTTTACTCCTGTATTATGAGCAGTCCCCTCCTGTCCATACTCTCTACCATTACTCCCCATCACATGGTGCATGCACATCTATGAGATCCCTGGAGAGGGAAGGCAAGATGGGGAAGTAAGACAAAATAGAGTCCACAGCCCACTCCTCATTTGAGTCTTCTTAAAAACTCCTAACTTGCTCGGGCAGAAGCAAGCCCCTTCTAGTCTCCTCTCAAGACATGAATAATTAGTAGACAGGCAAAGTCTTTTCTATGCATGCCAAAATCCTAGCCCTTCAAGGAATCATGGAACCAACCATGTTTGTGCTAAGGAGCTGCATCACCACATAGTGTGTGCGTTGGTATGAGAGAGGTAGGGCCACTGCAGGAAGTTACACAGCCTAGCAAGCTGTCAAGACTAGGCACCAGTGTAGGGGAAAATCACTGGATTTAAAAAAGTACAAAATTAGTCCCTGAAGCCAGGGACTGGAATACAACTCCTTCAATACTCCTGCATGAGTGCCTGAACCAATTATCCTCTTGCCTGCTCCTTTTCTTGCCCATGGCTCTTCCATTCTTCACTGCTGAACGTCCCAAGCTAAACTGGAAGGAGCAGGAAAATTCAGCTTTCTCCTCCTCGAAAAGATAATGGTTGCAATTAAGGATGTGGCAAACATGGCAATGGGTTTGGAACTAGATGATCCTTAAGGTCCCTTCCAACCCAAACCGTACTGACATTCTGTGAAACACAGCTATGACTCTTCTGTTGGAAAAGGTAACTGAGCATAGGTTTGCCATGTCTGAAACAACTGTTTGGTTATTATGCATAAAGTAGGTTCCCCACAGACAGTGTTTTTGACTTAAAGTGGCTCTCTGCTGTGCTTGATGCTGGATTCAGAGCTGGACTCGGAGCACTCCAGTGAAGTTAGGCTTTTCTGGGGATCCAAATGACCTCTAGATCTTGGTGCGGTCCAGTCAGTGCGTGGTTCCCTCATTTCCCAGACCACCACACCTCCCTACATATATCTGCCCAGCTCCAGAGTGACACAAGGGCTGAACAACTTGTGAGTTTTACACACTCCCAGTATTAAGCAGCTCTGGAAAGCAGAATTTCTGGATCATTTCCTTGCACCTAGGTGTCTTAATTTTAAGTCCAATTTTAGGTGAAAAGACAGATGTTATGGATATATCTGCAGACATCTCTAACTTCACTACCCGTCTCCTAAAGCAGGACTCACAGGAGTGTGGTAACGATAAGCATTAAGTGCAGTGAAGCCTAATAAGATCATATAAATAAGACAGATCATTTCAAGATGAATCCCAGACATATCTGGAATTGCATCAGTATAAAAAGAAGTTATGTTGTATTCAGATAGAATAGTTTTAAATTAAAACTTGACATTCATATGCCATCCTTCTTACATGCTTCACAGACCACTGGAAGAAAACACTTTATCCACTAACCATGGGTCCCCTTTAAAAATGTTACCACCGAAGACTGCTTAGATATTGCCACAGCACTGGAACTGAAAGGATGAGCTTTTTCTGATATCTGTAATCTGAGAGTTAGAGAGGTTGCAGAGCACCAACAGAAAGATATATGGAGGAAGCACAGTTTACGCTAGAGTTTGATTTAATGAGTTTTTATAAAGTCTTTTATGTCAAAGCCAGCTTATGATAGCCTCATCTAAGACGGTATCTAACATCAATAAGAGTATGCAGCATCTTGTTATCTTTCCACATTTACCATTCACACTCTCTAGGAATTTATCCAGCAAAACTGAGTTTTGTGGGAGCCACTGGCCTCATTTGTTGGGTTTTTTTCCCATTTCTGTTCTGACACTTAAATTTATCTCAAACTAACTGGGGGTGGGAGGTGACAATTTTGTTTCATAAAATTTTTGAAGTTTGGACAGGAACTGAAACATATCTTTCAACATCTTCACAAAAATAGTTTCAAAACATCTATTTCCAGAACTAAGTTGCAGAGGAAAGTCTGTAAGAGCCGAGACTGGCACGGGAGACCCATGTATTCAACTACTTATAATTCAAACTACAAATCCTCATCAGATCAAAATACTCTGAATATACAAATATACTAGAACTTAAATACAGACATCCTACATCCCAAACCAGTGCACTAACTCCCTGAAGAGTGATAAAAATGAAACTAAATCAAAAAACTTCTTGAAAACACAAATAGGTTTACTTCATTAGTTATAATTACAGGGAAGTGTTCCAACCTTGCTCCAGTTGTAAGCTACAGAAACAAGTACAAAACCAAAAGCAAGCAACAGTTACCAGTGAGTACTTTCTTCTTATACTGAATGCTAGGAGGAAACATCACCTCACAGGTCTAGGCCCAGATCAGTAGCTGTCAATCTCCCCCATCACCTACATTTTGCCTTCTTAAGGAAATCACCACATAAAATGGCAACTCTTGATGTGAACTTCCCAGCTGGGGATTAAGAATGCAGAGGCCTTTGCATTCTTTTGACAATTTACATAACTATATACAGAACATGATGTTACGAACTGATTTAAAGGACATCTTCCCTCTGTGCAAAGGTGCAGCACGAACAGCTCCATTAACCAACTCACCGCTTAAGATTCATACAAGTCCATAAAGCAGGTGTTAAACAGACCCTGTATTGATCTCTGCAATCTGGAATAAATTTTATTGCCAATATATAGACACATGCTTTTAAGATATATACAATCATTAATTGTCTGTATCAAGATCAGAGGCTGGAAAAATATGGACCCAACATTTTCACTGCTTCATGCTCAATTTCGTTAGCTAGTACAATGGCTTAGAGAATCAGGTCCACAGCTTCATCTCTTAGCCTCTCACCACTGAACGCCACACTCAGCACATCTGCTACCATGAACATGCAGAGACTGTAGCCTGAACCACTTAGCTACAAGTGAAATATATTCAGGAAACCCATCAGAACATACTCAAATGGATTATGAGTGACAGAACAAAGCGAAAAATGCAACAAACAGCTGAAATGGGAAATCACTCTTGAAAGCAAGGCAGTTGGTATCGAGAGAATATTCAGAACATGCCTTACCTGTGTAGTGCACGACACACGTCTGACCCTTCTTTGGAAAGGTCCGTCCTGTCAAAAGTATAAAAGGTTATTCTTTTATTTTCTCTGATTGACCTGTGTGGCTAGGCAGGCTGATCTTTCCAGATGAAAGTGCTACACTGAGATTTGTACCGACTATGTGTTACCAAATCACTAATATGCAATACATTTTCCATGTGCCTTATACATGCATTTACATTCTGCAAGTGCAAAAGGACTGTCAAAACTTCACGGATTATAACCTTAAAATTCTCAGAATGTTTTACTGTAATTTTTCAAATAAACTTTTAGTTTGACATAGTGAAAATTTCCATTTTTACTCACGTTTCTAATGCCTTTCACTCAAGACAGCTCCAACAAGGGCATCTTTAATTAGCCAGGAAGGGGTTTAAAAAAAACTTTCACATACAAAGGCAGTTTAATTTTGTAGCATCAGGCAACAATAAAGCAGTGATACATTGAGTTCTTGTAAAGGCCTGGTAGCTCCTCCTAAAATTTTCATACTGAAAGGAAAAGAGGGCTAAAACTGTTTTATTGCCACTGGAAAGTGATATTTTTTTTCCACTTTACCTCTTCTAGGTACTGACATAGGCACTAAAAGCTAGGGGAAGATTTTCGAGGCTCAGTTAGGTGTCACCAGTGTATTAAAGCAGCTAACCTTGATTTCTCAAGTAAGACTGGCCAGAGGAGGGCCCAGGCTGAGAACTTGAAGTTTGAATGAGACTGGTTATTAAGTAACATCCGTGCCAGAAAGCTCAAACCTGGGGATTCAGGTATAAAGCGAGGCTCCCATCTTAGCTGGCTTTCTGGCCTCTTTAGTCTGAATTAACACAATAACAAGTTACACATTACAGGGTGCACCACAGGGTATAAAACAAGTAATGCATAAACTATATACTTGGGGCTTAGACGCCAAACCCATCATGAGCAGTAAATGGCAGAAGGGCATGAATATGATGAACTGGCACTTAAAATATGAAATTGAGAAGATGGTGCTTCTGAGTATCATCTGAACAGCCTTGTTCATCAACACGGCTGGCTGGAATATCTCTAGCTATGGTGGCACAAAACACAGTACAATAAGTACCCAGTCAGGGCACCACTGTATCCACAAGCAAAATTTATCTCATTTAACTTGAGCCATCTAAAACACAGGCACCTATCATATGCCAGTCTCCTGGGCTTTCCCTGTTGACAGTGGAGAATTAGCAGTGCTTGGAGAGAAACCCAGCCCATGCAGAGAGAGGCAAGATGAATTATTCTCTGGAGATGACTACAGAAAAAAACCTACAAAACTGCTTTAGACTAGCCACCTAGCCTGAGGAAAGCTACATGAGATGAATCCCACCCTGCGTAAAACAGATATTATTCAAGTGATGCACTACTGTACAGAGATCTGAGAAAAGGAGTATCAGACCTTCCTGACACATGTTCTTCTGAGTGAGTGTAACACCAAGTCAAGGAGGCTACATAAATTCACATCAAAGCTGAATTAAAGGCAGAGATTCTCAAGACCACTGACTAGCTGTGGTTTTAAGACAGTGTTTAAAGTCAGCTGATTTTGATTAAGACTTGCAATCAAGAGAACTAATCCATATAACCTTATTTGGAACAGCATATTGTTTACAAAGCCAGCCTTGATATATTTCATAGCTAGGAAGTACTATTAGGAGGTTAAGTTGCACCCTTCTTTCTACTCTCAACCCTGCAATGTCACTTATTCCCACGTAAGCATTCTGCTTTTATATATGTGCAACCAAGACAAGAATTTGATCCCCAGAGCTAAACAGCACAGAGGGAGAAGCCAATTTCAAAGCACACACAAAGAAAGAAAAGATACTGGGCCAAGAAACTTAAGCTGAGATCGTTTTGAACAAATTATTTACGGTTGTGCATCAGCCAAGGATGAATCTGGCCTATTATATAGATACATATGGCTGTATGTTAGAAATCACATCCTCTAAAAAAATAGATACAACCACCACAACCTTATGAAATGGTGTTATAACACCACGGGAGAGCAGAACATCACGAACCGGCTCTGGAGAGGAGAGCTGCGCCAGGCAGAGGCTATGGCCACCCCGGCTGCACTTCTCCCCTCACCGGCACCACGCGTTGAGCCGGGGGACGCTGCCGCCCCGC